GTGGAGAGAGCGAAGTGGAGGAGCCTCTCCTCAATGCTCGGGCACGCAGGGCTTCCAAAAGAGAAGTCAATGGGGAAGCCAAATTCGCTTACAATCTTAACAAGAAAGATTGTAAAATGCGGCAAAACTCACTTAACAACTGTCTCGCTTAGCAACAGAATTTTGGGGCTCAATTGTGGTTGTAAGTTGAAGACCACCTGTACTTTTTGTCCGGCCTTTAGGTGCTTCGGAGAATAAGTCAACCCCCTCTTCTCTGTGACAGATCTCTCAAGTACTCTTGCTCAACCATCCTTGTCTTAATGGCTACCATTGAGCTGTGAGTTGGGAAGCTGAAGTGAAACCTTATGGTAGGGGTATCAAACTCAAGGCCCGGGGGTTGGATCTGGCCCACGAGGTGCTTAGATCTGGCCCATGGAGCTGCCCTGGAAACAGCACAGGACCGGCCCGTGGGGCCGCTGCCAGCGAAAATGGAGCTTGGGAGGGGTCCTCCCGAGCTCCGTTTTTGCTGGCGGAGAGTTGCAGGAGGCCATCACGGCTGAAAACGGAGCTTGGTAGCCTGTTTTCACTGACTCAGGCCACCACAGGTGCCCCCGACCTGAGTGATGTCGAGCCTGCCACGACCCCTCTGGCCACACACACGCCCCTCCTCAAGGTTAAACACAACCCTCAGACAGCCCTCAATGAAATCGAGTTTGACACCCCTGTCTTAATGGCTACATGAAGCTCAGTCTTATGCAAGTCTCTGACTCTCCCTTTATGATCTCTAAAATCCTGCCCCCCCCAAAGCCCCCCCCCCCAAACAAACCCTGGAGATGGAGCTGTTTTTGTAATGCTACAAATCTATTGATAACATGGGATGAATCTGGGGTTTTTTTTTCATGATCGTTACAGACAGGATGAAACCGGTGAGGGTAAGCAGAAAGACCATAAATAAAGTAATAAGCAAAAACTGGCTTTTTTTTTGTTTTGTTTCTGCTTAAGATGTTGATTCCACAGTTGTTGCCAAGCAATTCCTGGGGTTTCTCTCCCTTCTTTTGCATATTTCTGTCCTCATTAATTACATTTGTTTTTTTGGGGGGGATGAATCTCCTTCTTTTGGCAAATGCGTTGTAGGCAACAGCCTTTCCCACCCTGGTATATTCTGATGCCAAGCTAGCTGGGTGGTTTTGAGAATTGACGCTCGTATAAACATGTCAGATGAGAAAGATTGATAGTAAAAGTCTATTACTTCTGGTTCCAAAAAAATAAATAAATCATCATTTGGATATATTCATAGATGATAAATCGATCGTTGGCTTCTATGTATAATAAGAAGCACCAGGTTCATTGGGAGTGTAATTTTTGCTTATAGCTGGCAACAAACCAGTGGGGAAGTTCTCCATCCTGACTTGCCAATACATTTTTACAAAGAATCTTCTAAAAGACAGTGCTAGATTAGATAATGAAGTGTAACTGAGAAATTGGGTTGAAACTGTCGAAGTAAAGTACGATGGAACATTTCATTGTTTATGTAGAGATTCCTATTTCCTCCTGCTCCTGATTTTATGGAGATTCCAGCATGAACATCCAGAAAGGCAGATTCACACATGACCATAAACCCCAGTTAAGTCCTTTGTATCACTCACATTATTTTGGGACTCTCATCTCTCATCAGCTTCAGAGAGCTTGACCGGTGGCTGTAGGTCAAAACATCTGGAACAGAAGATTCTCAACCTTGGCAACTCGATGATGTGTGGACTTCAACTCCCGGAATTCCCATGCTGGTTGGGGAATTCTGGGAGTTGAAGTCCACACATCTTCGAGTTGCCAAGATTGAGAAACACTGATCTGGAGCCTTGACAAAGCTTGTTTTTTGTGGGATTGATGGGAGATGGAGCGAGTCCAAGCATGCTCACCCTCTCCTCCCAATTGTGAAAGAGGAAATATTGGAACCATGTGAATTTAATGCAAGCTTGGACTCCTTTTGGATGATGGGTGTTTGGCCCCAAGCTACTTCTCTTCAGCTGCCAGAGATCCTCTTCTAAATATGCTTGAGACTTTCTGCCACGTCGAAACACAAAATGCATGACAAATGTTATGTAAGCCTGAAGAGAACTTTAGTGTAGCTTAAGAGAATGAAGAAAAATGTCAAAACGACTCCATCACCACTTTGAACATAGAGCCTTCAAGCCTCTTCAGAATATTAAACGTCTCCAGATCTTGCCCCAAATTGCTCACCCATGACTTATTTAGCACATTATGAAAATGAAAACCAGTTCAATAAGGGCCATTATAGGTTACAACCCAGTGGTTTTTTTTACTACTGGTTCTGTGGGCGTAGCTTGGTGGGCGTGGTGTGGTGTGACTTGGTGGGCATGACTTGGTGAGCGTGGCAGGGGAACGATACTGCAAAATCTTCATTCCCACCCCACTCCAGGGGAAGGATACTGCAAAATCCCCATTCCCTCCCCACTCCTGGGAGAAGGATATTGCAAAATCTCCATTTCCACCCCACTCAGAGGTGGTATTTGCCGGTTCTCAGAACTGCTCAGAATTTCCACTACCGGTTCTCCAGAACCTGTCAGAACCTGCTGGATTTCACCCCTGTTACAACCACAACTGAGCCCAAAATTTATTTTGCTAACTGAGACAGTTAAGCGAGTTTTGCCTCATGACCTTCCTTGCCGCTGCAAGAATCACTGCAGTTGTTAAGTTAGTAACACGATTGAAAGTGACTTTGATTTACTTTGTCGGAAGGTCACAAAAGTGATCACATGACCCCGGGACACTGCAATGGACATAAATAGGAGTCAGTTGTCAAGCATCTGAGTTTTGATCACATGACCATGGGGATGCTGCACTGATCAAAGGACTAGGGGTGTCATGATAGCAGTCTTCCAGTATCCATGGGATTGCCACAAAGGGGTTCTCCAAAGCCCCTAAAGGCAGGACAAGAAGCAATGGGTGGGAACTAATCAAGGAGAGAAGCAATCTAGAACTAAGGAGAACTTTCCTGACAGAACAATTAGCCAGTGGAACAACTTGCCTCTAGAAGTTGTGAATGCTCCAACACTGGAAGTTTTTAAGAAGAGACAACCATTTGCATGAAGTGGCATATAAGGTTTCCTGCCTGAGCAGGGGACTCGACTAGAAGACCTTTAAGGTCCCTTCCACCTCTGTTATTCTGATCATAAGTGTGAAGGAGCCTGGATAGCTCAGCAGACTAATGCATTGTAATTTAACTCCAGCTGTCTGCAATTAGTAAGTTCGAATCTCGCCAGGCTCAAGGTCGACTCAGCCTTCCATCCTTTCTAAGGTAGGTAAATTGAGGATCCATTTGTGGGGGCAATAAGCTGACTTTGTAAAAATATACAAAAGTATGAAGGCTATTGCTTAACGCATTGTAAGCCGCCCTGAGTCTCCAGAGAAGGGCGGCATATAAATCAAATTTAAAAAAAAAAGAAAGAAAAGCAGTTATAAGTCACTTTTTTTCAGGGCCGTTGTAACTTTTGAATGATCACTAAATGAGCTGTTGTAAACCGAGGACTACTTGTACAAAGTCTTCAGATTTAGCTTTTGATATATTCCCAGAGAACAGCATAGAATTCTGCATTGGTGTAATGTGTGCTTCTGCTTTGGGTGGATATGTCAGTGCCATTCAGGAAAATTGATAAATACAAGTTAATCAGCCTAGTCATTTGCTGAAAGCTGTGCTAAATCAAGTTACTTACATTCATGCCCGTAGGGATTTTTGGAGTAAGCAACCTGATGCAGAGTGCTGAAATGAGCCGGAAATAGTAAGGCGAAGGAATTAAAGGCTTGAGACGAGAGAAAGAAAAGGAAACATTGCTAAATCTGGCTTATACCAACCCCATTCATTCCTAATACTTTTCCATGTTTTGTAGTTCTTCCAAAAAAACCCAACTTCGCTTCTAACACATCCATACATCGCTACTTTGCCCTTTGCTGGGAGAGGGCTGGCAGAGGGCCACGCGCAGCCCCCCCATCTCTGTTTTCGCTGGCAGACGCACCGCGGGCTGGACCTTTGCTGTTTCCAAGGCAGCCCCACGGGCCAGATCTAAGCACCCTGCAGCTGGATTTGGCCCGCGGGCCTTAAGTTTGACACCCTTGTTTTGGAGAGATTGGTTTTCCTTTGTTTGCTCATACTTCCTTTCCATTTCCACATGCAGCCATATTGACTTTACCTATATTTTTCTTCATTGATATCCGTCTTTCTGCAAACGTTGGGGTCAAGAACTGTCTCACAAAATTTTAAGTGTTTATTTTTGTTTAATTTGTATGCCACCTTTATTATTTTTTTTACAAATACCTCAAGGTAGCAAACATATCAATCTAACACACCTTCCTCCTCCTATTTACCCCACAACAACAACCCTTGTGAGATGGGTTGGGCTGAGAGAGAGCTCAAATTTGGAGAACTATGCAGTGCAAAATATTACTGAGCTTTGATCTGAATACTGTTAGCATAAACGAGGCAGTTTTGCTTAAAAATGCAATATTGCAATTAGCGTCCCACGGCAGTCCTTTGACCAATTAGGCTGCCCCTTTAAGCCTTTTTGATAAATATCAGAAATAATGGCAAAGGTATTTAGGGTTTCACTTTAGTATGGAAACCTAGTTGCAGAGGGGTTTAGATAACATTTGAACTGTGTCTTTTGGAATTTTGAGAAATTTGGCTTGTTCCTAGAACTGTGCAGTGCATCAGATTCAAAGGAACAAAGGTGTTTTGGAGAACAAGGGAGTACAATTGTGGCTTTTGTCTGCAATCCTTCAAAACTGCACCTTTCCCTGGATTGTGTGGTTGGGACAATCCATCTGCTGCTTGGTTTTAAGGTGTTTTAGACAAAGTGTTTCGTGAGCATTCCTACAAGCTCCGAGGAATCTTTTAACCGCTACCCTGTGAATTCTCTGCTTGCTATCTGAAAAAAAAAGTATTATATCTCACCATCTCCCTTTTTTTCCTCCCCTTTCCCTCCCACCCCTCCAAATTTCTGTTTCAGGCCCAGGCATGTCTGCTTCTCCAGAAAGCCCTGCAAAATAAGTATTTTAAGCTTTCATTGTCTGGCAAAGAGTGGGAAGATTTCATCAGAGAAAGCACCCATCAAATTACTGAGGTAGGACGAGTCAATCTGACTTTTTACATTTCCTGGTACGCATCATATTCCTCTTTCTTTTCTAAACCCTATTCATGTGTTGAAAAAAACAACAACCATGTGAGTCAGTGGTGGGTTTCAAAAATTTTTACTACTGGTTCTGTGTGTGTGGTTTGGTGGGCGTGGCATGGCTTGGTGTGTGTGGCTTGGTGGGCGTGGCAGGGGAAGGATACTGTAAAATCTCTATTTCCTCCGGATCAGTGTTTCTCCTTCACTCCTTTTTATAATAAAGAGAGTCAAGATGGGACAGTCTTTATCTCTTACTCACACTTTGCTATTTACCCAGACTTACTGTATTTTTCGGAGTATAAGTTGCTCTGAACTATAAGACGCACCTACCTTTTTTGGTGAGGGAAAGAAGAAAAAGAAATCTGCCTCTGCCTCCCAGCAGTTTTGCCTCGTTGCAGCAAACAGCCTGCTGTACTTTCATTTTTGTTTTCAGCATAGCTTGATTAGCACAAGAAAAAAAAATCTGCTCCCAGCAATTTACCTCCTTGCAGCAAGCAGCAGAGGCCCGCGTAGCTATAGGCAATGGCAATCCCTGCAGCCTGAAACAGCTGAGAGTCGGGAGGACGATCCGATGGACAATCAATTTGTGCTAATTAGGCTGTGCTGAAGCTGAAATGGGCTGTTTCTTCTTGCTGCTTGCTGCAAGGAGGTAAATTGCTTGTGAGGCAGAGGCCAAAGGGTGGGGGCCAGTGGGTGGGCAGGGCTACATTCAGTGTATAAGACGTACCCAAATTTTCACCCCCTTTTAGGGGGGAAAAAGGTGCATCTTATAGTCCAAAAAATATGGTAATCCCTCTTTTGTTAATAGTCTTCGCATTCCTTCTCCAAGGAACCATCCAGTGGAAGCCCATTGTAACTTTGAGTGATCACTAAATGGTCAGTTGTAAGTCAAGGATTACTTTATAGGCATTACATAGCAAAGAGGCAAACAGAAGAAGAAGAAGGAGAAGCTAGGCCCAGGAAAGGGGAAATAAGTAATGAGAGAAGGTGCGATGCTTGTCTATAATAGTATTCACTTAGTTCAATATCTCCGTGCAGTTACATCCGAGTTACTTATACTGAATTTGAATCTACTGCAGGGTAAATGGTATTGCAAGCATTTGCTTAGACCAGTGTTTCTCATCCTTGGCAACTTTAAGATGTGTGGACTTCATCTCCCAGAATTCTCCAGCCAGTATGTTAAAGCACTGTCTTAGACTAAATGAATGATGAATAATGGCTGGAAACTGAGCAAGGAGGGATTCAACCTGGAAATATGGAGAAATTTTCTGACAGCGAGAGCAGTCAACCAATGGAAGGGAACGGCTTGTCTTCAGACGTTGTGGGAGCTTCATCACTGGAAGCTTTCCAGAAGAGACTGGATTGCCTTCTGTCAGAAATGGTGTAGGGTTTCCTCTTTGGGTGGGTGGGGGTTGGACTAGATGACCTACAAGGTCCCTTCCAACTCTGTTAATCTGTTAATGATACTTCTGTGTCTCCAGGTGAGTTTGATTTTGAAATTGGAATTCCTTAGGGGATTTCTTCGTATTTTTTTCTAAAGTTAAATGTGTAGCCATTGTTTTAGGTTGGAAATATTTGGCACATTGCAGCTTTACTGCTCCAGCAATATCTAGCCTCGGCTGTGATAAAAACCTTGGCCAAATTTAAGGACAGGGTTTGGAATCAAGACATTCAAAGTGAATTTCCAATCTTTTGCTACAGTGCAGTTTTCTTATCACCCTTCCCTGGTTTATGTGGATAATTTTTAACATTTTACATGTTCTGTGCAAGAGACGTTTCTCCCTGATCCAAACGGATGCACTGACTATCCATTAGGCTGATAATAGGTAGATGCACCAATCTCTTGAATCTCACGTTACTAATTGTCAGAATATGTAACTGTAAAGAAAATTTGAAAAGCCAGCTTGGTGTAGTGGTTTAAAGCACCGGGCTGAAAACTGGGAGACTGTGGGTTCTATTTCTGCCTTAGGCAGAAGCCAGCTGGGTAATCTTGGGCCAGTCATTTTCTCCCAGCCCTAAGAAGTAGACAGCAACAAGCAACTTCAGAAATGTTGCTGAGAAAACTTCAGGGACTTGTCTGGATAGTTCCCAAGAGTGAACACTGCCTCAAAGGGGGGGAGGGAGGGAGGGAGGGAAGGAGGGAGGAAGGAAGGGAGGAAGGAAAGGAAGGAAGGGAGGAAAGGGAGGAAGGGAGGGAGGGAGGGAGGAAGGAAAGGGAGGAAAGAAGGAAGGGAAGGAAGGGAGGAAAGAAGGAAGGGAAGGGAGGGAGGGAGGAAGGAAAGGGAGGAAGGAAGGAAAGGGAGGAAAGGGAGGAAGAAAGGAAGGAAGGAAAGAAGGGAGGAAGGAAAGGAAGAAAGGAAGGGAAGGAAGAAAGGAAGGGAAAGAAGGAAGGAAGGGAAAGAAGGAAGGAAGGGAGGGAGGAGAGATAACAGCCTTCTTTTTATATCACTAGTTTTCAGATACCTCCATAGTGGGTGCAAGATGGTTATCAGTAACTAAGGTTTGCTAACAGAGAGAGAGACAGAGAGAGAGAGAGCATATTTACTGTAAAGCCAAGTCACCACAGTCATTAAAAGAATCATGTGGTTAAGCGAATTTTTTTTTTTGCCAGAAATCAGCAAAAGTTACAAATCACATGACAGGAAGACACTGCAACTGATTATATACATGGCCTGCCTGCCAAGCAACCAGACTGCAATCACATGACTGCAGTGGTGATTATGCACGTGTGCATGTGCACCTTCACACACACACACACACACACACACACACACACACACACACACACACAGGGTGGTGGTGTTAGTCCTTGAGTTACGACCATGTGTTCAACAACAGTACAGAGTTATCACAGTCTTGGTGCAAGTCTGCCACCGTGGATTGTCACCATGGATTGGATTGCTGTTGAACACATGGTTGTAAATCAAGGATTATCTTCCTCCCCCCCCCCCAGTGTGTGTGTGTGTGTATACTGTGTGTGTGTATAGATAAATAAATACAATTTGTAGAGATTATATATAAAATATATAGTATTTGATATATATTTTATTATTGGCCTTGGCTCATAAACAAACAATAACCATTTGAAAAATACGCCCGAAGGAAATTAACGTCAGATTTCTGTGATTGATTATTTAAAACCCTGAAGACTTGATGTTACGCAGAATGTACTGAATTTTAAAAAGCCTTAGAAAAAATGCTGCAGGGAGTGCCCTATTTTTAAAGCAGTCGCTCTTGTGACAACCAGAAATAAAGCCGAGAGGGGATGTGTTGGTGCTCGTGCCTATATCCCTATCCAGAGGGAAGAGGGAAGGAGGTGAGGTGAGAATGGAGTCAGAGCTTATTCTCATGTGATGGAGGAGGCAGGAGCAGGATAACAGTGTATAAAATGTACGTCCAGGAATGTGTAATCAGCCCTCAACCTTTCGGGCACCAGGGACCGGTTCCCTGGAGAGAGGTTTTTTCACGGACTGGAGGGGGAGTTTTCACCCGCTGCCTGTATCCCATGGATGGGGCTTTGCTTGTTTGTGCAACCTGGTTTCTGGCATGCCGTGGAAAGGTGCTGGTCCATAGACCGGGGGGTGGTGGTGGTTTGAGGACCCCCGATCTACAGCCAACCAAGCCTTTACAGGTAGTCCTCAACTTACGTCCACAATTGAGGCCAGAATTTACATTGCTAAGTAAGATATTTGTTAAGTGAGTTGTGTCCTATTTTACAACTTTTCTTGCCCCATTTGTTAAGTGAGTCACTGCAGTTGTTAAATTAGTAACCTGGTTGTTAAGTGAATCTGGCTGCCCCCTTGACTCTGCTTGTCAGAAGGCCACAAAAGCTGATCACATGACACACACCATCCCACCACCCCGGGACACTGCAACCGTCATAAATATGAACCAGTTGTCAAGCATCCAAATGTAAATCCACATGACCGTGGGAATGCTGAAATGGTCATAAGTGAGAAAAATAGCAATAGCCCTTAGACTTACATACCGCTTCCCAGTGCTTTACAGCCCTCTCTAAGCAGTTTACAGAGTCAGCCTATTGCCCCCAACAATCTGGGTCCTCATTTTACCCACCTCGGAAGGATGGAAGGCTGAGTCAACCTTGAGCCAGTCAGGATTGAACTCCTGGAGTGAGCAGTGAGTTTGTCCTGCAGTACCGCATTCTAACCACTGCTCCACTATGGCTCTTAAATGGTCATAAGTCATTTTTTTTGGTGCTGCTGTAACTTTGAACGGTCACTAAACGAACTGTTGTAAATTGAGGATTACCTGTGTTTGTGAATAAAGGGCCTCTCTTATCGTCTCACTCCCATTGTTGCCAAATGCAGCGTGATCTGGTGGGGAGGACAGCAGATGCGATTTGATTTTGTTCTGTCCAGATTTTTGCTGTCAGAATCTCTCGGCCCAAACGGGAAGACTTGCCTTCTAATGCAGGTAGTCCTCAACTTACAACCGTTCCACTTAGTGACCGTCTGAAGTTACAGCAGCACTGAAAAAAAGTGACTTAGGATCATTTTTCCCCTTACAACCGTTAACGGCATCCCTACGGTCACGTGATTTACATTTCGGATGCTTGACAACTGACTCGCATTTATGACCGCTGCAGTGTCCCAAGATTATGTGATCCACCTTTGGCGACCTTCTGACACGCAAAGTCAATGGGGGAAACCCGATTCACTTAACAACCGGGTTACTAATTGTAACAACAGCAGTGATTCACTTAACCAACGTGGGGAGAAAAGTCGTAAAATGGGGCCAAACTGACTGAACGAATTTTTCACCTAGCAACGTAGAATTCTGGGCTCAATGGCGGTCGTAAGTGGAGGACTACCCAGTGGTGGGATTCAAATAATTTAACAACCGGTTCTCTGCCCTAATGACCAGCTGGGTGGGCGTGGCTCGGTGGTCATGTAATCGTGTGGGCGTGGCCAACTCAGCATCACTCACATGGAAGGGCGCTTCGCCTTAGCTGTTACAATGTAATAAGGGTTAACCAGAGAGGCAGTTTCTGTAAGCAGGGCAATAAAGTTTAGGCTAGAAACAACACCAGAATGTTTCCTTCCTGCCTTCCCTACAGGATTAGCCCTGTAAAGTGGGAAAAAAAACAAAATAAGATTTCTTCCAACAAATGGTTCTCCGAACTGCCTAGAAAGTTAACAACCGGTTCTCCCGAATAGGTGCGAACTGGCTGAATCCCACCACTGGGACTACCTGTATGACTCAGCCCAGGAATAACCTGCTTGAAAATTTAAGGTTGCATTCCAGCAAAACTTGGATGCAGCCCAAACTGGAACAGGCCCCATAAGCGATTGGCTCACAGATGGTACCAGCATCCTCCTTTGCTCGGGGAAGGCATTTCCACAGCATCATAGGGGCGTACCAGGAGGCACAAGGCGGCACAGGGCAGCCAGATGTTAGCCTCAGTGAAGCTTCTTCATTATCAATCTGCACAGTTGTTCTTTTAAGGATTCCGGAATGGCCGGGGGGTGGGGGGTGGCTCCAGAAGATACATGGCTTGGCCAGAGTTCCTTCTCGCTTGTGAATCCCTTCCAAAACTGCCAGGCAAAGTTCAGCGAAATGAGGTCTGGTGGAGAGAAAGGCTCTCCTATGCGAGGGAGGAATTGGAGTGAAGAGCTTCTTCAGTATGTAAAAATAGCAGTAAAATCAGCTTTCCTCCCCGTCCTTCAGATGTTTTGCATTGTAATTTTCTTCCTCCTGGTTTATTAGCCAGCCTGACTGTCTCTGAGGGGAGTTCTGTTCTAGACAAGCTTTTAGTGTTTTATGCACATTTCCCCCCCACTCCTTTAAAGCATCTTCTTCTTATTTTATTTTATTTTATTTTATTTTATTTTATTTTATTTTATTTTATTTTATTTTATTTTATTTTATTTTACTTTACTTTACTTTATTTTATTTTATTTTATTTATTTTATTTTATTTTATTTTTTTATTTTATTTTATTTTATTTTATTTTATTTTATTTTATTTTATTTTAATTTTTATTTTATTATTTTATTTTATTTTATATTTTATTTTACTCTGAACACATCTCTCCTTCCTGTGACCCCCTGCATTCAATTTTGGCTTCTAAGACTCTGAGGAGAAAGACCCTCTTCGTATAGAAGTGCTCCTCAACTTACAAACCATTCGTTTAGGGACCGTTTGATAATACAACGGCACTGAAAAAAGTGACTTATGACCTTCTTTCATACTTAATGACGGTTGCAGCTTGACAGACGTGCTGCTGACAACAACAGCAGTGATTTGCTTAACGACTGTAGGAAGAAAGGCTGTAAAAGGGAGCAGAACTCACTTAACAACTGTCTCACTTAGCAGTGGAATTTTGGGGTTCCATTGTGGTCATAAGTCAAGGACTACATGTAACACATAAATTATTCCCTATGTTGCTGCTGGTATATCAATTAAAATCCTTAATAGAATAGGATAGAATAACAGAGTTGGAAGGGACTTTTTTTTTAAAAAAAAAGTTTAAAGTAAAGAAAAAACAAAACTGGATCTCTTCATTTTTCTCTTTACAAATAAACTTGCCTAAACAAATTCTAACAGAAGAGCCGGAGATATATAACCGCAACATCGGATCCACTCTATACTTGTTCACCCAAGTACATGAACTACTTCCGTAGGTATAGTTCTAGAAAGAGATAAAATGTACTGGCTAACTATGTTGCTAAAATCTATGGTTGCAAGTAAACTTATATATAATAAACATTAGTCAACCCTCATGTCAATATAAGAAAATATTCCATTCTCCTGCAACTTAGTTTGTTTTTAGAAGGAAAAAAAAGGGACCTTGTAGATCATCTAGTCCAACCCCCTGCCCAAGCAGGAGACCCTACACCAGGGATGTCAAACTCAATGTCATTGAGGGCTGCATCAGGGTTGTGTTTGACCCTGGGGGGTGCGAGTGGGCGTGGCCAGGGTGGGCGGGCCCGGCTGGATGTCACTCGTGTCAGGAGCACCTGTGGTGGCCCGAGCGCTCTGCCAGAGAAAACGGGCTCATGAGCTCCATTGTCGGCTGTGATGGCCTCCTGCAACCTCTGCCAGCGAAACCTTCGCTGTTTCTAGGGCGGCCCCGCAGGCCAGATCTAAGCACCCCACGGGCCGGATCTGGCCCCCGGGCCTTGAGTTCGACACCCCTTACCCTACACCATTCCTGACAGATGGCAGCCCAGTCTCTTGAAAGCTTCCAATGATGAAGCTCCCACAACTTCTGAAGACAAGCTGTTCCATTGGTTGATTGTTCTCACTGTCAGAAAACTTCTCAGGTTGAATCTCTCCTTGTTCAATTTCCATCCATTATTCCTTGCCTGGCCTTCAGGTGCTTTGGGAAATAGCTTGACCCCCTCCTCTCTGTGGCAGCCCTTCAGATATTGGAACATTGCTCTCATGTCTCCCCTGGTCTGTCTCTTCACTAGACTAACCGTGCCCAGTTCCTGTTACCGTAAGGGATGGACTTTCAGAGAGAAGTTCTTGCCTTTTAAAAATCCAAATCATTCATTAGCAAACCCGCCAAGAATCCCGCTCTAGGCTCAATTTAGTTCCTCGTATCTGTGCCAGTATTTCTCATATTAGGCCAGCAATCTAACCTGGCACGAAGAACTTTCATATTTTCATAAAGCTGTCAGAGCTTTATTTTATTTTACAGGAATGATGCAAAGATACGAGGCTCTGTAGGAGGAGGAAGGAAGCATTCTTGTGATTTTCTGGGTTATAACTTCTCCCCCCCCTTTTTTTTTTTTTTAAAAAAAAATAGACATTGAAGAAAGTGGGTGAGTTCAAAGTTAAGGTGGACCGGGAGAAGGTCATCAAGTGTCTGGAGCTGTTGAGCTGCCTCATCAAAATAGTGACCCAACAGGTATGTGTGTCCCTCTTACTATCTGATTCTTCTTTGAAATGCCAACATTTCCCTGTTTATATTCGCTGCTCACAAAGTTTTCCTCAGACTTAAAAGTCATTGTTCTACTTTTTGTTTGTTTAGGAATTCTTTGGACTAAAGTAAGAATCCAAGAGAAGAGAAGAGAAGTAGCTCAGGGTTGAGCTATAGAATTTTTTTTGGGATGCTCTCTGAGGTTGGTTTATTGGCAGACATTGTATTAACTTACAGACTCTTGTACTGATGATATTACCTAGTTGGGCAATGAAACATCTGCAACTAAACAACCAAGCTTAGAGACCACCCAAAACTCTAAAGTTAGCATACCTGTGCTGAATTAACTCTGGATCAATATTCATGCAGTATCAATATTAGCAATTTTAAGATGTTTGTGTATCTATATTTTTCTTGACTGTACACCGCCTTGAGTCCTACGGGATAAAGGCGGTATAGAAATAAAATAAATAAATAAATAAATAAATAAATAAATAAATAAATAAATAAATAAATAAATAGCACTTAGACTTATATACCGCTTTATAGTGCTTTACAGCCCTGTCTAAGCAGTTTATAGGCAGCATATTGCCCCCAGCAATCTGGGTCCTCATTTTACCAACCTCAGAAGGATGGAACCTTGAGCCTGGTGAGATTTGAACTGCCAAATTGCAGGCAGCCGGCAGTCAGCAAAAGTCAGCCTGCAGTACTGCACTCTTAACCACTGCGCCACCGCGGCTCCTCACTATTTGTGAGTATGTAAATACAAGTGGCACAGTTGGTACATCTGAGCATCCAATTCAAGTATCCTCAATTTATTTTAATTATTTTTTTGGAGACATTTGGAATTTAAGAATCTGCAGTGAGCAAGGTGACAACTTATGGCTTCTGTGGGGAAAGTATCAAGGCGCTCATTTACACAAATGTTACCTGCTAACCACTTCTAGCCTTGCTCCTTTCTGCAGGATGTTCTCTCCCCACCCCTGCTTTTGTATTTCTTTTTCAGAGCAGGTGTGCCCACTTCTAAATGAAGCACTGGGCTGCAATTTCCCACTACTTTTATTTTTTTAAGAAGCTTAAAAGAGCCCAGAGGCAATCTTGGAAGTGAAAAATGCTAGAGGCTGGTGTCCAGTAAAGAGAGAGTTAACAGGCATCAAGATATGTATTTATAGGTACATTAGCAACCTGGCACCAGATTTTGGGATGTTGGCCTAGATCCTGACTAGAGGACTAGATCCTGACTAGAGGATCTAGGCCAACAGATCCTCTAGTCTAGGCCAACAGATCCTCTAGCATTCTGTAGAAGAATGCTGCTTTGTCACCTGGTTGAGCATTCAGTTAGCTGATTCCAAGAACTAATCCAAATCCACTAATCCTGATAGTCCAGAGGGTTGGACTAGAAGACCTCCAAGGTCTTCTCCAACTCTGTTATTCTGTTCTGTTCTGTTCTGTTCTGTTCTGTTCTGTTCTATTCTATTCTATTCTATTCTATTCTATTCTATTCTATTCTATTTCTATTCTATTCTATTCTATTCTATTCTATTCCATTCCATTCCATTCCATCCATTCCATTCCATTCCATTCCATTCCATTCCATTCCATTCCATTCTTCTTCTAAATCTTATACTATGAACTTGCTTGTTTTGATGGCAAGTATTGCATTGTGAATCCAGGAATCAGACTGGTCATCTCTACTGGGATCACACATACAATAAGCCATTCATTGATTGAATGAGTGACTGAATGAAATAAAATTGCGAATCATTCATTGGTATCCTTTTCTCAATGAATTTGCTGGGAAAAGAGAGCAATTCTGCTTTCTATATCTACCACTTTTAAGCAACTTTCTTTATTGAATGCAATTCTAGTATTCTTTTATTTACTTTTCAGGCAATCAGCATAGATCTGACTGAGCTTCGTGGCGTGCTCCAGACTCTGGGTCAGCAGGAACATTTTGAGAAGTCCATACAACTTGACAACATGTACTGGAATGTTATGAAACTCCTGGGATTTAAGTAAGTTATAGAACCAGTTTGGTGTCATGGTTAAAGTACCATGCTAGAAAAGCCAGGAGACTGGGAGTTCTAGTTCTACCTTCAGCACAAAGTCACTGGGTCATCTTGGATCAATCACTCTCTCTCAACCCTAGGAAGAAAGCAAGTGGAACTATTTCTGAAATTTTGCCAAGAAAATTTCAGTAATTAGAACAGTTGCCAGGAGTCAAAACAAACATGAAGGCACATATACACACATAGAAGGGGAAGCTCCATGCGCCATTCAACCCTTTGGCCCTCCTGATCAGGCCTTTTAATTTTGGAAAATGAACTTAGAAATTAACACAGTTCACAAAAGCTTGGGCTCCTGAAGAAAAGAAAACCTGGAATCGCAACCCCCATGCGTTGTAGTCCTGTTGATGGTGACCCTTAACAGTTCTCCCCCTCCCGAGTTCCCCTAACACACAGGTGACAAACTCGCTGCGTCACGTTGCCATCACGTGACGTATCATGACGTTTTTTTTCTCTTCACTGAACGGGGGGTGGGCGTGGCCTGCACATGACACATCTGCCCTGCGGGCTGCCAATTTGACACACCTGCTCTAACATAATGAATTGGCCCGTTTGATCAGAATAAATTCCGAATGCTCAGTTTGTAACTTCTGTTTCTTAAAACTTCCATGGGCGATCTTAAAAAGAAAAGGCTAGTTGATGATGGAAGGCCCTGTTGGTGTGGTTGATGGGAGTTGTAGTTTGATATAGGGGGAGGCATTAAGATGAGGGAAGTGTTTCTCTACCTTAGCAATTTTAAGTTGTGTGGACTAACTCCCAGAATTCCCCAGCCATCCATGTAGGGGAATTCTGGGAGTTGAAGTCCACACATCTTAAAGTGCCTGAGATTGAGAAACACGGCATTAAAACTAAGCGGTGGATGTCAGCGGTCATTTCCTATTCTTGATTTGCAGGCGGCCTGTGAAGGTAAAAGTCTCTGTTCAGCCTGCAAACGGAACTGTGGTTGAGTCCCTAAAGCGGAAGAAAAAGGGCTTTCTTCCAGCCACCAAAAAACGTCAGAACCGCAAAAAGGCCCAGCCCGGTCAGTCTGAGAGCAGCAGCAGAACCCCTGCTGTTGGTGAGGCTGAGGGTCCCTCAGAAGGAAAGAAGAAAAAAAGGAAGAGGAAGAAGAAGCGAGTGGCGGAAGAGGACGTGAGGGAAACATTTGAGCAGGGTCCTCCAGCAAAGAAGAAGGCTCAGTCCCCGGGGACCACGAAAGGAGCTGCTGGGCCACGTGGCCAAGTGAAGAAGAAAAAGCATCAACGCAAAGGAAAGAAAAAGGGGACTGACTGAATTTTGGGGACAGACAGGACTGCTTTTATCAACCTCTGGGAAATGTGTTTTGAAAGTTGCGGGGGAAATCTGCTTCTGGATTCCAGCTGGCAGAATTAAAACTGGTCTGCTGTATTATTTTGATAATGGACTCCATCGCCATAAACAGTCTTGGGACTTCCTACCTGTGATGCCAGGAACAATTTCCCCTCTCCCAATTCATGTCATCTGGCATGGCTTCCAGAAGAGCCAAGCTGCAAACAGCATAACACATTCTGGATTTATATGTGTGAATGAGTTTAATTTGATGATCCCAGCAGTGTAATTTATAAATTGCTCCTGGAAAACGAGGTGCTTTGGAGCAGACTCCTTGTAACGTCTGGATCAGTTCCAGCTCCTTGGTTTTAATAATAGAAGGCATCAAGCTATGATGTTGAATATAGGTTGCTTTGGTTACTTGGAGTTAAATGACAGAAGTTATATTTCTGAATAAAAAAATAAAAATATTTTTTAAAATCTTTATAAAATTAAAGACTAAAATGACATGCCTTGGCTCAGATGTGTTTGAAAAATTTGTACTTTTTGCACGTTTTGTCTTAGAATGGGTGAAACTTCTTACAATAAACAGACAGTGCGTACATTCAGAAAAAGCATTGAATGTTTATGCCACCTGGCTCCAAATGACTCTGAGCTGTTAGTAGCATTTCAGAGTATGCTAATCTGGGCAGTATACTTCAGAAAAGTATTTATTTTGCAAGAGTTTATACCTTACTATCCCATTAGCTTTCCCAAAGCCTGCAGTGACTTGGAGCGGTTATTACCGTGTTTTCCCGAAAATAAGACCCTGTCTTATATTTTTTTGAACCCTGAAATAAGCGCTTGGCCTTATTTTCGGGGAGGTCTTATTATTTTGGGGCGGGTGGAGCAACATGGGGCTCCACTTGCTGTCTTACCTGATTTCCAACTCTGCGTTTAAATATTTTCAGGGAGGGCTTATTTTCGGGGGCAGGCTTATTTTAAAACATGCGCTCAAAAGCCCGATTGGGCTTATTATCGGGGATGTCTTATTTTCAGGGAAACAGGGTATATGTCACTTTTCGTCTAAAGGTCTTTTGCATCATGTTTCTCTGTTTTGGGATTTAACTGGGATGCTAAGGCGAGGAGAGTCATAGGAGATCTATGGCCATTAGATTCTCTCCCTTCTTTATTTTTTTCTGATGAACAGTGGGAACAAATGTATTCTTGTTTCTACCTTAAAGGAAACAACTCATTGCAAATAGCTAGCAGATTAATCTAGTCAGAGGTTTGTCAGAAAGCAGACTAGAGGTTGGAAATATGCTCTCTGCTTCTGAGAAGACTAAATGCCTGCTTGCATTACCCAAAACAGAGTTTTCCAGCCTCATGTTCTCCAAATATGCCGGGGGTGAGAACTCCTAGGTTGTAGAGAATCTTTTTTTAAAAAAAATCTTTTTGTTATTGCAAGTCATTAGAGTAACAGTTGGTAATTATTTCACCCAGTTTCAATGTTCTGTCCATACACCGCTCCTGCACAATCTTGGATCCCAATTGTCCCAGCTTCGTGACTGCCAGCAATGGCTGTTGTGCCTGCTGCCTTTTGGGAGAGTTTGCTTCAGACCTAACGAGGAATTTGCGAATTCCTCGTGGCCAGCGAAGCGCCCCTCCTTCCTTCACCTCTCCTACAAGGAGGCTATGACCCCAAAGGGTCTCCCAGCAGTGGTTACTGGCTGGATTTTTGTGGGGTTCAGCAGAGCCCGCTATTTTCCAGCCATTCTCACCGCAGCTGCAACCGAAAGTCCAAATTGCAGAGAATCTGAGAGATGCCCCATTATGTCTTGTGGGTACCAACTGGTCTAGAAAACATATGCATGCCTACAACTTTCCCTCAAAATACAATCTGTGCTTCCCAAATCAGCTGGAGAAACATTAGACCAAAGCAGTACAGGTAGTCCTTGACGTATGACAAAAAATTGAGCCCAAAATTTATTTTGCTAAGTGAGACAGTTGTTAAGGGAGTTTTGCCCCATTTTACGACCTTTCCTGCCACAGATGATAAGTGAATCACTGCAGTTGTTTTATTAGTAAACACAGTTGTTAAGTGAATCTGGCTTCCCCATTGCTAAGCGTCTTGTTAAAATGTCACAAAAGGAGATCACAAAACCCTAAGACATTGCAACCATCATAAATACGAGTCAGTTGGCAAGCGTCTGAATTTTAATCATGAGACCATGGGGATGATGCAACTGTCATGTAAAAATAAGTCATAAATTGCTTTTTTCAGCACGGTGGTAACTTTGAATGGTCATTAAACAAACTGTTGTAAATTAAGGACTACCTGTAATGCTCCAGGCTCTTGGCCCTATTCCATATAAATAGAAAATGACTGGTAGCAGTTTGTGACAATGAATTGCATTTATTTCTTGTGGTGCCACTTATGGAATATTGAATCTTAGAATTGTTGGAATAGGAGGGGAAGCTTTCTGGAGAAGACTGAAGATCCATCTAGTTCAAATCCTGTTCCTATAAATAGGAACTGATTTCTCGAGAGATAGACTAGTAAGTGGAACACTTCCATTGTAGGCTTCTCTCTTTCAGAACAATCAGCCCCACAAGGTCAGGGTAGCAAAAGATGATTTAAAACTTTAAATTGGTTTTGGAAGCCCTTTGGAAATGGATGATTTGTAGTTATCAGGGTGGCTGTTAGTGTTTTAAATGTGTACACTTGTACAGCAGCTCAGTGAAATGAGCCAAAAAAGTATGAAGGAAAAAAATCTTAATGAGAAGCATTTTATGGCTTTAGCCCTCTGAAAGATTTACCTTCCAAGAATTGGTCCAATTCCTTGCTACAAATTTCTTAAAAACCTCAATCTTGGCCTCCTTATACAGCTTTTTTTTTGAAAGGAAGGAAGTCAAGTATTACTTATTTGTATGTTTCCCCCCTTTTCTGAGCAAGCAAAGAAGTTTTCCATGCAGAAGGTGCTATTTTTAAATGTTTGCATAGAATGTTAATAGTTGAAGGTATAGATTTAATTTAAGTCTACTGAAGTTCCTTCCATTCAAGGGAAATTTATAATGTAAAAACATTGTCTACTTTTGTTTGAAACATTTCAATGCATAACACTCTTGTTCTGTTCTGTTCTGTTCTGTTCTATTCTATTCTATTCTTGCCATGCCATGCCATGCCATGCCATGCCATTTTTTTCTATTCCATTCCATTCCATTCCATTCCAAATTCTTTCTATTCTATTTTCTATCCCATCTCATCATATCTTATCCTTGAAGAGGAGTTAAAGATGAGTAAAAACCTGCTTTTCTATTGTTTCCACCGAATGTTTAAAGTCCAGCTCCTTAGAGCAGCAAAAAACACCTTTTCTATATTTGGAGATTGTTCTCTCTTCTTAACCTTCTATTTTCTCATCTAAACACCATCAATTTCCTCCACAGGATCTTGGACCTCTGTAAACCCTCACTCAATCTGTGCTTCTGTTTGCAAACAATTTAAGTTTGAATGGGTATAATATGCTATGTATCAGGCTAACATGGCAATGAAAAATATTACTTAAGATGATGCTTGGATTGGTTTTTCCCAGCAGCTACAAAATTCCTGCAACTCATACTACTTAAGGGTACAAGACACCAGTAAGTTTCCCCTCCAAAGAAATATCCTCTAAATCAGTGTTTTTCAATCTTGGCCACTTTAAGCTGTGTAGACTTCAACTCCCAGAATTCCAAACCAGCATACTGGTTAGGGAATTCTGGGGGCTGATGTATACACAAATTAAAGTGGCTGAGCTTGAGAAACACTGCTCTGAATAATGCGCTCTCCTGCCAACACTGCAAGAAATGTATATTCTGCAGCACTATTGTGTATAATGCTTTATAAGGACATAGAGGAGGATATCTGTAAACTGAGGGTTGACCTGGGGAGGTCCTTGTTGTTAGGTAATGAAACATCTGCAGAAAAATGACCAAGCTCAGCGAGCACCAAGGACCCCTATAGAAGCAGGAGTGAAACGAGAGAAGAATTAGGATGCCTTTTGGGGAAAATAGTTTATCTGAAACCGAAGCTTTTAAAACTAACCTAGTATCTTCAAAACTAACTTCCTATGTTTTTGGCAGGTCAACAGTTGATGCTATCTGCTTTTGTGTCTGCATATAAAGAACAAGCAGAGAATACTCTTGATTTCAATCCAGCATTGGATTGAATTAACGATTAGCATACAGTAATAGGTTTCCTCAAAATTGGCAAGTCTTTGATGTGGATTAGTGTTTATAATTATAGTTTATAATTATAATTATAGGGGACGCAGTGGCTCAGTGGCTAAGACGCTGAGCTTGTTGATTGAAAGGTCGGCAGCTCAGTGGTTCGAATCTCTAGCGCTGCACAACAGGGTGAGCTCCCGTTACTTGTCCCAGCTTCTGCCAACCTAGCAGTTTGAAAGCACGTAAAAAATGCAAGTAGAGAAATAGGGACCACCTTTGGTGGGAAGATAACAGCATTCCATGAGCCTTCGGCATTTATTCATGCTGGCCACATGAGCACAGAATTGTCATCAGACAGCGCTGGCTCTTCGGCTTAGAAACGGGGATGAGCATCACCCTCTAGAGTCGGGAAAGACTAGCACCTATGTGCAAGGGGAACCTTTACCTTTACCTTTATAGTTTCCCAACTGCCATTCATTTCCATATTCTGTAGAAACTGCTGGCCAACATCTCAGGTTGTGGAAAACCAATACAAGGAAAGTCCTCCTTATACACACAGACACAATTTGGCAACCCTCCTCTGCTCTTATCTTGGCAGACGCTCCCGTAGACTTCGGTAGTTGTATTTCAAAGCAAACATCAACTACTTTGCTCATCCTCATAGTGTAAATTAACACAGTGCAGCGGTCAGGACAGCAGCAATTACAGGAAAAATGAGAACGCCAGCACCCACTGTTTAAATATGTTTTATTTCTTAATTTACATTATGTATGCGTATACATATATATATATCTATATATTCATTTATATATATATTTGACTGCTTTATTTTTATACTCTGAGATCCATAATCAATTTCACTGTCCTTTAAAAAATAAAATAGCCATTTGTTCGATTTTTGCTTCTGAAAGAAAATCAGAAAAAACAATTGGAGTCCTGCCTTGTATAACAAGAAAAACATTAGTATCACGCTTCCGTGCTTTCCACTTGTCAAAGTGATCATTAAAACGTCTCTTTTTGTGAAAAGTCTGAGAACAGAAATGCCAATTCCTCGAAATCAGGCCTGGCTGGAAGATGGAATGGGGAGTTGGCAAGATCCCATCTTGCTGGGATCTTTGAAAACTAATTAGTCTCATTTAGGAGGAGAGCTGGGTTGACTTCCCTTCATGACCGAGATTCAGAGACAATAGAAAACCGAGGCCCTTTTCAATATTTATTGATGTCTGCTCAAGAAAGATCTTTTTCTTCCACTTTGGTATAACCTCCAAACTTAGTCACTGGTTCTCATTCTCTCAAAGCCTGGTTTAGCATCCCCAGTCATATCTTTTGCCCTAGTTTTACAATTTTTGGATTCCTTCAAGATGGCACCTGCCACTGGGTCAGCAGAGGACCAAAACAAAATGCTTTTTTCTGCTAAATGGATTCCGGCAAGCAATCTTGAGTTTCAGAACGACTGGCCATATCTGTTGGAGTTAGCTGTCTTCTTTGGCTGGGAGATCTCTTGCTGGCATTATCGGATCCAGCGCTGGGTTAGTCTGCTTGCCTTAGTGCCGTTTAGATTCCCTACTACAATGATTTGGAACAAAGTTACATGCTAAATTGGATCCTAAAAAGAGGGCAGGGAACAATTTTTTGCAGATCATATCAGGGCCGGTGAAGTTTAGAAGGAGCTGGAGGATTCCAGACACTGATCCTGCAACGTTTTCGCTTCAGAATGAGAGCAACTGAATTGACTGATGCTGCCATGCAAATCTGGATAACTCTACAGGGACAGGAAAGGAAATAGTCCTGCAATGTGGAGCTACTATCCATGCTGAAGATGAGTTAATGAAAACTGTGTATGCGTGCACGGCACGTGTATGCGAGGAAAATCTATTGAAATCTGCTGTTTGAAACTTAACTATAGCCAAGATCCATTTCAGATGGAACTTATTTCTGCTCCGTCTCTACTTTTGACATCTGGAAGGCTGTCAGTTTCCTGGAGATCTCGTGGAAAAGAGATGAGATGAACAGAGGACTGGTTGGGATTAACGGGGTTTTGCAGCCACGTGTCCTTTCTCAAAGCCAAAAGGTTGAACTGCCTACCACCTTCTCAGAAACAGAAGCCATCTATCTCCCTCAGGAGCAAAGAACTTCAACATCTATGCAAAATTTAGGATGGGATTTTAAGGCCGTTCTCCGCTCTAGCTTGTAAACAGAAAAACAACCTTCTCTCTTTTAAAAAAGGAGTGAGGAGGATATTGCCACTGGAAATGATCAGTCTAGTAATTTTCTTCTTCTTTTTTTTTGGCCTGGAGAATCATTGGTAGAACTGTTGATAGTAAACACTTGCTGTCATGTCTCCCCGTTTCTCAAGAGACTTGGGGGGAAAAAACCCTGACATTCCCCTTGGAAAATTATAAATATCCAGTCATGCTGGACCAAAAAACAAACAAACCAAAAACCCAATTGATAGGTCTGAGGTAGCCCCAGCAGTAAACTGCTAGTGCAAATGACAGTCTTAGGTAAAGCAAAAGGGAAAAAAAAAACTATCCAGCTAATCCAATCTTTTTGGTGTCTTGCAGAAAAAAATGGTATCCTACTGCATTATTAAAGAGCAGAAATCATATCTGGGGAGCTCTAATCAGATGGCAAAGCACTGCTTTGGGGAGGCTGGTATAATGTCTCTACCTGAAGACAGGATTGCTGACCAAAGCAAGGGTGTTAAATAGTGTTAGATGCTTGCTCCGTTAGCAGAAGTGGGTGTGTCTTCCTTGGATGAAAAATCAAGTATATTCAGTTCTCCAGATGTCCCTTTTGGGAGATGGGAGGATGAAAGAATCAGCATCCATCCAGATTGGGAGCAAGTTGTCATCCATGCTTCTGCAGACTACAAGGCTCCTTGTGTGCCCAGCAGACACCTTCATTCTGCTGAAACACCACCAATCCATTGTGTCCGAGAGTCTGGATTTCCTCTGGCTCCAAACATGAGGAGTGGGGAGGAGGAGGGGGGGTTGTCTTCCACAGGTGCTCATTTTGGGGTTTAGTGGCAGCTACGAAAGATTGCCTTCATTGCCCGAGATGTCAGCTGCGGGGAAGGAAACAAAGAAGAACTGTTAATGTGGGGAGAAGGATACAGATGCTTTCACAGAGAGACAGTCAAAAATCTATAGCCCATTCTTTTGTACTGGCTTGGACCATTAAAGTGGCCGTGGCCAGAATCCAACAGGCTGCAAATTGCTGGACTGGCTGGAAAAATATATTCAGGATTCTGTTGAAAGTGTCCCCTCAGACTTTGTGAATAACTGATCATTTAAAGCACAAGCCCAATGCTGCATCTTGGGTTTTCTTATTAAAAAAGTACAATGTGGCTCTTTATTACAGAGGCAAGATGTTGATTACTGTATTCTCTCTCTCTCTATATATATATATACACCAGTATCTGTATCTATGTCAGATCTCTCTCTGTGTGCCATCTATCTATCTCTATAATCTATCTATGTATCTATCTCAGAGATCATCTCTTCCCCCATCTATCTCTCATCTGTCTATATCTCTATCATCTATCATCTCTCTTTCTCTATCCATCATATATCTTCCCTCTGCCTGCCTGCCTGCCTGCCTGCCTGTCTGTCTGTCTGTCTGTCTGTCTGTCTGTCTGCCTGCCTGCCTGCCTGCCTGCCTGCTGCCTGCCTGCCTGCCTGCCTGCCTGCCTGCCTATCTATCTATCTTTCTATCTATCTATCTATCTATCTATCTATCTATCTATCTATCTATCTATCTATCTACCTACCTACCTACCTACCTACCTACCTACCTACCTACCTACCTACCTACCTACCATCTCTCTCTCACAAAGACACACACATTTATACTCTGCCACAATCTCATAAGACTCTAGGTAGTCCACAAATGTCAAAGTATGCAATAAAAAAAACCACAAGAACATCCATAATCCAAGCAAACACCGACTACAAAGATATACATATCCTGACAACAACCAACTGATAAGGCTGACCGAAATGATCTCATGACCCAGACGCCCTTTGAAGAGTTCTGATCTGAGCTGCTTCTGGAACATAATCAAAGAGAAAGCCAACCAGGTGTCCACTAGAAGGACATTTCAAAGGTCTGATGCTATCACAGAGAAGCAATGCCTCCAAGCCTCAGTAATTCCAAAGAATTACCAGAATCAGAGAGAGTGGATATCTAGACTCCAATTACTAAAAGAGAGTGGACCAAACTGATGGGCAGGGCTAATGTAGTATTGTATTCTGAGTTCCCACAGCTCCAACTATGTTTATGGGAAGCAAGATGCTTTACTAAGTGGCTTCAACATTCCCTAATACTTCCTTTACTTCATTCCAGTTGCATTTAGCTAAATGTGCATTGGGCTATACAGATGCCTTTTTGAGATATTGGAGAAAATTGTTATTATCTTAAAGTTTAATTCACAAAGGTTAACATGAAAGAAATATTTGAATAGTTTAGTGGGATATACAAACGTAACTCACACACTAGAAGTTAAACTACAAGTAGTCCTCATTCTGTGATGAGCAATTTGGTCATTAAGCAAAGTGGTTACTAATTGAAACACTAAAATGTTATGATCTTATTTAGGATTTCCTTTGCTGTACAGACCTCAAAGGTCATAAATTTGAGGACTAGAGGCAAAGTTACTTTTTCATAGCCATTGTAACTGAGAACACTCTAAAAGCATAGTCACTAAACAAGGTATTTCAAAGAGAAGTATGCATTCCTTTTAATTCATAGCCAAACTTAATCTATCTTTGTCATACATTAACACTGTCACTGTTCACACAATATGTTTAATCAGGTCAAATAAATGCTTAGCAGATGCATTCAGACATGTAGTTCAGTGACACTGTGTTAAGATTTTTTCTTTCATTATGTTCAGGTTAATTTATGATTCACTGTAATGCCGAATCCACAAAATGGGCTAATCAAAGTGAAGCATGTTGAATGAACATGGCCAACTTGCATGTAAAAATGTCCTGTAATTCAGTTTTTCCTGATGCATGTTTTACAAATTGTTCAGTGGAGAAAATGGACACTAACCAGGGCATCCTACCCACGGTTTAAAATTGATTTCATATCCAAACCTTGGCTAAGCAGTCTGGATGAACTGGAAAGCTACACTGTAGTTTATGAAGACTTCCTGATGTTATTTAGCAGGTCAAGCGAAGAGACTTCATCTGCAGTCAAAATTGTCATTTCATTTCAACAGGCTTATTAACTATTCCAGGGACGTGGTGGCTCAGTGGTTAAGATGCTGAGCTTGTCGATTGAAAGGTCGGCAGTTCAGCAGTTCGAATCCCTAGTGCCACGTAACGGGGTGAGCTCCCGTTACTTGTCCCTGCTCCTGCCAACCTAGCAGTTCGAAAGCACGTAAAAAATGCAAGTAGAAAAATAGGGACCACCTTTGGTGGGAAGGTAACAGCGTTCTGTGCGCCTTCGGTGTTTAGTCATGCCGGCCACATGACCACAGAGACGTCTTTGGACAGCGCTGGCTCTTCGGCTTGGAAACGGAGATGAGCACCGCCCCCTAGACTCGGGAACGACTAGCGCATATGTGCGAGGGGAGCCTTTATCTTTATTAACTGTTCATCTGAATGCAGCTATTTTATTGCAAGTAACTTGTCATCATAAAATTGCCTTTTTTGAGGAGGGGGGTGGACCCAAAACAGCATTTACTAGAATTCCAAGCAGGCCCTAGAAATTCCTAGAATTCTTAGGATGCTTTTACTCATTGCTTTTGTTACTTACCGCTGTCCTTAAACTTTCACTGAGGTTGGAGGCATCATAAGTTGGTTTACCCTGGGGAAAAAGAAATGGAATTGTCAAGTTTCAAGTTTTTTTTTTTCACAACTTGCATACACAAGCATACAATCATATAGGAGAAGATTTTTTTAAATATATCCATATGCTATTGCCAAGACCTATACTGTGACCCATCTGTTCTTTCTGCATAGGTAAATTAATTTTGAAAGGGGGTTGGGGGGGAAGCCCATGTGCAAAAGAGGCTCCCAGATATGCAATTTTGAGTCCTAGAATTCCCAGCATCTGGAAGTTTCTCAGGTTGGGAAACCCTGCCTTAGGCCTTCCTCAGTGGTTAGATGTTGGGAGGTTTAGAATCCTCTGGTTGTTAATTATACAGGTAATCCTCAATTTATGACCACAATTTTTATTTATTTTATTTATTTGTATCCCACTTTTATTACTTTTACAAACAACTCAAGGCGGCAAACTTATCTAATACACCATCCTATTTTCTCCACAACAACAAGACTGTGAGGTGAGCTGGGCTAAGAGCGAGTGACTGGCCCAAAGTCACCCACCTGGCTTTTATTGAGCCAGGCGGGACTTGAACTCACAATCTTCCACTTTGTAACCTTAATGGCTAGACAAAACTGGGTCTTGGAATTGCCAAACTGGCAATTGGGACTAGAACATCCATTGCTAAGTGAGGAGATTATTAAGTGAGTCGGGCTCAATTTATAACCATTTTTGCTGCGGTCATTAATCAAAACACTGTGGTTATTCAGCAAACTTGGCTTCCCCCTTTGTCTCTTGCTTCTTGGAAGCCAGCTGGGATGGTTGCAGATGGTGATTACATGGCCTCAGGACTTTTATTTACAACTGTTGTAAATATAGGCTGCTTGCCAAATGTCCCAATTTTGATCATGTGACCGCAGGGATGCGGAGATGGTTGTAAGTGCTAGGATTGGTTGAAAGTCACTTTTTTCAATGCCGCTGTAACTTTGAATGGTTGCTAATGAATGGTCATAAATTGAGGTCTATCTGTAATGCCCATTGCTCTGGCCACACTGGGTGAGATTATACTACAGTCCAAAATGAAATATCAGTTGTATGCTGTTGTTGTTATTTTAGTATGGGTAAATAAACAAATAATCTGTCAATTTCATTTTCTTATTTTTTTTGTAAATCTCTCAGATTCAGTTCATTAAATTTAGGGATTTTAAATGCCTGCCAAAGTTTGTAAATATTTGGTTACACATTTCTCCATACCAATACAAATGTATTTGCTCTTTTGTTCATACACGGTATTTCAAATACTTTCTTCTCCTGTATAATATACTTTTCATGACTGTATGCATTTTTCTATAGATTTTCCCTAATACCTTTTTTTTAAAAAAAAATATGGCAAAGTAAAATTCCAGAAAAGTGAAAATGTGAATGATAAGCTTTGGTTTACAAATTGCTCTGCATTCCCCACTCCTCAATCTCATTCAGATCAGGTATTACATTTTTTTAAAAAGATACAATCAGGCAATTAGTAAAGCTCTTAGAAGTTAAAAGTCCCACACGATTTCCACAAAGTATTTTCCTTTTGTCAGGAATAGATTTCTGTTTCGTACAATGGTATAATGCACACCGATAGCTGCTGTTTGGATGACTGCCATAATTTACATATCAAGACAAAAGCATTTTTCCTCACACTGTCTTACCGAGTCTCGTTTTTAATTTTTTAACAGCCCCCCCCATCAAATTAAAAGCCTTCAAATCCCAGTATCTGATCTTAGAACTCAGAACACAGAACATAGGACAATAGCTTGTCATTTTGCCTTCTTTCTTTTCCAAAATAGCATGCCACTTTCTAAATACATCCACAACAAGGATGAAACAAAAAGCAACACAGCGTGACGGGTAAGATTAAAAACAGCAACACAACAAAGGAGATATTTAAAGCAGATGCAGTAAAAGCAGACCGGCAAAAAACACCGAGAAAAAGGAAACAAAAGAAAAGGCCAAGCTGTAATTCTGACTCAGTGACAGAAAGAGAAAGGGTTTGAAACAAATGGTTGAAAGCCAAAAGCCAAAAGCCAAAAGCCAAAAAAAAAAAAAAAAAGTGGAGAAGAATAACCCATCTGGAATACACAAATACCTAGTATTATTTTTCTTTAAGTCACAAGGAAGACTCTTAAGTCAGTACTCCTTCTAGGCTGCTGAAAGACCACAAGGGTAGATACAGTACATGCCTTCAGGATTAACCTGAAGAAAGTGAGGTCTATAAAAGCCACATATTCCTTTTCTATACTGGAATTCTCCAGCTGTGTTGAACGGCAACTCTCACCACGACCAATAAATATGCTTGCCAGAGAGGATAGGAATCTTACAAACATTTTACAATCGTGCCAGATTTCAAGTGATCTTATTTTTTTTCCAAATGGGAAAAGCCAGCAGGTGCTTACCCAGTGGTGGAATTAAAAATTTTTTACTACCAGTTCTGTGGGCATGGCTTGGCGGGCATGGCAGGGGAAGGATACTGCAAAATCCCCATTTCCACCCCACTCCAGGGAAAGGATACTGCAAAATCCCCATTCCCACTCCACTCCAGGGGAAGGATACTGCAAAATCCCCATTCCTCCATTCCTCTAACCACAATAAAATACCTTATGCCACCAGACTCCAAATTTTGGGCTTAGACAACTTAGAACTACGCCGACTTCAGTCTGACCTAAGCATAGTACATAAAATTATCTGCCACAATGTCCTTCCTGTCAATGACTACTTCAGCTTCAACCACAACAATACACGAGCAAATAATAGATACAAACTCAAGGTAAACCGCTCCAAACTCGATTGCAGAAAATACGACTTCAGCAACAGAGTGGTCAATGCCTGGAACGCACTATCTGACTTTGTAGTTTCTTTCCCAAACCCCCAAAACTTTAACCTAAGACTGTCTACTGTTGACCTCACCCCATTCCTAAGAGGTCTGTAAGGGGCGTGCATAAGTGCACCAGCGTGCCTACCGTTTCTGTCCTAATATTCCTTTTTTACTTACTCTTTTCATGTATTCAAATTATGTTTATACTTTTACCTGTTATCTTATATATGCTTGACAAATAAACTTATGATTATGATTATGTATGACCGGATGGGCCTCGACTTCCTATGATTTTGCTCAGATCTATTGATGGAAAGATGTTCTTCATTTTTTAAAAAGCATTAAGCCATTTTTATGATTTACAAGTCAATTACTATTTGCTTTCTCCTTCAAAATAGTGGGAAACCCTATGATTAATTTGGCAATTAGGGACGGGAGAGGTGCTGCAGAGTGCTTACAAGGATAAGTTTGAGGGCTGGTATGTAACCCGGAATCACAGATCACCCAAACTTGTTCCGGGAGATTTGCAAACGTTTTTGTTCTTCTCAAGGTAGAAGAAGAGTTAAGCTTTTTGCTGCTTCCTCCCTGACAAGGAACTAGCTCCAAATCTCTTTTATTTGAGCAGCAGGAGGAAAAATAAAACCTTGAATTCTGGAACGGTTCCCTTTCTTTTTCTTTTTCTAATTAATGCCTATTCACGCTTTTTAAAGCCTCTCTGCATTCTCTCCGCATACTGTAGCTACCTGCAGAAATTCTCAGAATTTTTCCCCACCGCAAGTGACTAAATCTTATTCCACAATGATTGTGTGCTTTAATAATTAAGGATTTATCGCAGCCGTTATTTTAACCTAGCCTAACGCTCCAAAATGAGTCATTAAGTATTATTTAATGGAATGCATTAATGGAATGCAGAAAAGGATCTAATTCAACACCATGCAAAAGTTCACTGAAGAACCTGGAGGCTGTGTTTGCATTTACACACACCTCTTCCGCTGGTAAAGTGCTGGTTTTATCTGAACATTATAATCTATTTTAATAATACCACAGTCCCTTTATCCTTTTTTTTTGCCCCCCTGTCCCATTTCTTAAATGCTACAGTATACTATTATTATATACAGGTTATTGTATACAGTATACCATTCTTCTTTTTTTCCTTACTAGTATCTATCTCTTCCCACTTATTACTATAACCATGTTGCTTGTATTTTTCAATTATACTGTTTTTATTTGTTTCCTAGTACGATTTGATAGCTTATTTGATAGTAACCTTGACTATCACTATCACTAAGTGTTGTATCTTTTTATTCTTGATGAATGTATTTTTTTCTCCTTATGTACACTGAGAACATATACACCAAAGACAAATTCCTTGTGTGTCCAATCACACTTGGCCAATAAGGAATAAAGAATTCTAAAGAAAGAAAGAATAATAAAATTGCCAAAAGAATCATGCATACTTTAAAAAAAAAATTGTCCCAAAGTTTCTCTATTCAGGTCTGTTTTCACAAGCAAGCAAACAAATGGAAAACTAAAATGAACACACACAAAAAAGGAAAGAGAATGGGAATCACTGAAGCAATTTGAGAACTGGAATTTCCTTGAATTTAGGATACCATCCTACGGGAAGACTGGCCTTTACAAAAACCAAGCTCTGCTTCTCCAAGATTAGAGATAAAAGTCCAGCCTTGGAAACAACTTCAGTTTTAGAACGCTTCACAGGCTGTAGAAGGGTTCTTATTAGAGGTCCTTGGTGCTTTCTGAGCTTGGTTGTTTTCTTGCAGATGTTTCATTACCAAACTAGGTAACATTATCAGTGCTAGTAAGGCGTGTGGTTTGCTCTTATTTTATATACTATCGGTAGTGGCTTGCCATGTCAATGTTGGTAGGTTCTTCAGTTGAGCTGTTTACTGTCAGCCTGTTTGACAGTTCCTTGATTAGGGTATGCACAGATGAGCATAGATTAACTCCAAGGTTAACCTCAGACCAACAATCAAGAAGTAAATCTAAAGTGGATATCCCTGTCTACAATGGAGTGATGGGGAAAATTCCCATCACCCCCAGGGCTCTGCTTTGCAACTGTCTTTCTTTCCACTTTTAAGCGGTAGTTGCTACTTTTCCTAACTGTGGTTTTTAATCCCTGAAATACAGCAGCAATAGTTCCTGCAAGGGGCCTGCCAGGATACAA